TTTTGGTTTTTTTTTTTTTTTTTTTTTTTTTTTTTAATGTGTGGTTAAACTGTAAAGAAAATTTTTGGATTTACGTGTAAATTATTATATTGAGATAATGTTTGATTGAAAATAAATTAAAATGAATTTTTATATTATAGGACTAAAACATGGACTTAATGTAAAGTCCAAAATAAACACAAACAACGAAAAGTTCCAACATAAAGTTTCTAAATTTTAATTTTTACCCAACACATCATTGTGAGCAAATGAAAAAATAATGTTAAAAATAGGAGAATCTGATTCACTTCAGCGACCAATAGAATTGTAGGTCAACATGGGTGGAATACTAAAACAATTTTTGTGTTCTGTAGATGAATTTTGTAGAGAAAATCTAAACAGTCATTCGAACAAGATTTCTGTGTAAAAGAAGATCTTTTGGAAGAAGTGATAATGAAAGATGTTTTGGAGGCTTCTGCCTTGATGAAGTGGGCTTCGACTTTATGATCCTAAGCCCTTGTTGAGCTTCAGCCATTTTTCAAGGCGGCTTGGTTTCAAGGCCTTGACCATTATGAAGAGAGTTTCGGTTTGAATGGCCCAACAGTTTTGATGGGTCGGCCATGTGAAGACACGTGTGACAAGGCGTAACACATTCTATTATAATTATCTAAAATAATTTTAATGGAGGAGATTGGAAAGTCTCTCTTTGCCGTAAAATTGGATAAGTCTCCCGGAAATGTTACAAGAAAGTGAAACCATAAATACACACTAAATGATAATATTTGTACCTAGTAAGTTAGAGTAAATTAAGTGACAAGTTGGCACAAAAGTTATATAAAATATGGAGTGTTTTTTGGAGATAATCTAATATATTTAGTTTTATATTCGATAATTCTCTTCTAGAATTTATGAGCGCACAAATATATGCATATAAAACTTATATAGAAAAGTACACAAATTTTTAATTCTCCTGTAGTTGATACTGGAGGCATTTGAAATCCATTAAGAAATCTAGGACATCATCAGAATCAGGTTGCACAGAGACGAAATTATATAAACACAACACAAAACCTTGCTCCATCTGCACTTGACACTAAGTCAATCGAGGCATATGAAATGGCAAATCATCCATGCTGATTTCATCGTCCAAGACGAAATCCAGGTCCTGATCAAAGTTACAACATGGCACCAAATGGTCTCCAGGGGAAAACTCGATCAACCCTGGATTATTTTCACATCTGGGAATGAATTATTGATAAGAATTCCAGGATGAGCATCTGGAGGCTGTGCATTTCTTCTGCTGTCACCTTTTCCTAGGTTTAGGCTCTGAATATAATCCTGCAAGAGAGTACTTGGTCTTGGCCATTTGGTTCGGGGTTTTCGCTTGGAAAATTGCCTTCTTTTGGTAGCATTCCAGTGATTCTTGATGGAATTTTCCGTTCTTCTAGGGAGTTTTTTTGCTATTTCTGACCATTTATTTCCCACTTTTGCATGAGCCTCAATGAGAATTTTATCTTCTTCCTCACTCCATACATCCTTCTGTGCGAGAAAATTGATGAAATAGTTAATAGTTTCACCAGCATCTTCCCCGTTTTAATATATATAAAAAGAACTAAATCATCTACTATATAAAATGAAAAGAAAAATTAATTACATTTTTAAATGGGATTTGCAGATATAAAAACATCTCAAAGGCTGCATTAATTTTATATGTAGTAAAACAAATTTATTGGTTGCCTAATACTCTCTTCTTTTAATTTAATTTTAAAAAATTATAATAATGAAATTAAGAATTGAGATAGGTAAATAGAATTAAAATATAAAAAAATTGGTTTTTTATATAGAACGGAGAATTGAGTTGCACCTTAATGTCTGGCCTGAGATGGTTGTGCCATCTTTCTCTGCACTGCTTCCCAATTCTCCCCTTCAGCATTTGTGCGATATGCGACCATTTTCGCTGCCCGAATTTTTCCACCAGATGAATCAAAACTCTGAAAATTATCCAAAAATTTGAACAAAACTCAATGAACACGAAAAACATCAAAAGATACGGGAAAATTTAATCAAATAACACCTTTTTTTTTTTTTTTTTACCTATCTTCTTCAACTGTCCACTGTGTTTTGGCCGACTTGTTAGCGTTTCTCCCTGCTAATGCAAACTGACTCTCATCTATGTTACCATTACATTTTTTCTTCTTTTCTGTATCACTTTTTTTGTGGTGGTCATTTTCAGCTGTCACACATGAAGACTTATTAGTTACAGAAAAGTTCAGGGGATTTGGAGTCATAAGGTCAATATTTTCAGAAGTTATTTCCATTTCCAATAATGAATTTTTTGTGTTCATAAAATTTAAGAATCCAGTTGCACCCTGAAAATTCTGCATGCCTGCACCATCATCATCAGTTTCCTCGAATACCTTAAACTTATCAAAGTCGAAATCTTTCGACCAAGAGGCATGGAGAAAAGCGTCAAAAGGATCGTAGCCATCAAGATCAAATGATGAGAAGTTATGATCTAGGTGGTGAAAATCTTGGAGATACCCTCTTGATGAAAAACTTTCCATGCAAAATTCGTCGCCTTCTGATCTAATTTCTTGTTTAATCGAGTTGTTGTACGACAAACCAATTGGTGTAGGAGGGACATTCTGGTCATTTTCACACCTTGTCTGAGACTCCATGGATGGAGAAGGAACTTTGGGGTTAAGGAATTGATGAAGAAAATGCAAATCTTTGTCTGAGTTAATGGCACTGCAGTTAAGTTCATATTTATTAAGGATGTAAAGGGCATTTAATGGGGTGAAAAGTCATCTGGACCGTCTATTTGTTCATCAGTCGGACGGTTGAGATTGCAGTCAAATTTAGTCAAGATATTGTATAAATCACTTACCATAGTTGAGCAGGTTGATGATAACACTTACCATACCATTTTCTTGGAATTATGCAATCAAACTGCAAATAGTAGTGAATCTGAAAAAATTGTCTTATGTTTACATGTTGCACTAAACGTGTAGAACGAGCATTGTAAGTATAATTTTTCAAGAAATTATCACGAAATATATATATATATATATATAGTGCTTAATAAATATTTATTTTTTTTACTTCGTGATAATTTCTTGAAAAATTATACTTACAATGCTCGTTCTACGCATAAACGAGCACTCCAACTTGTGTCCACTTTTTTTTTTTTATATTTGAGTTCCCAATTTTCAATTTTTGTGGCATTTGAGTCGTGGTAACTGATAAGTGATACCATCAAGTTTCCAAGTTAATTGCATGTGTCTCGATTGTGACACATTTACGTTGAGTTAGAAGTCAAAACAAAATGTTTTGATTATTGAAAGGGGATTAAAATGTTTAAAACTTAAATTTAAATGAGTAATGTGAGAACTCTTGCATAATAGTTTGATCCATGATCCAAAGTCGAAAGGGAAATAGTCCGGATCGTTTGCTAACCTTAAGCTCTTCGAGCTTCCTTCAATTCGCTTCGGGGGAGAGTAGGCGAAATGAGCCAAGCTGGAGTTCATATTTGACTAAAATAACAATTGCATATTATTTTTTCAAATTATTTTAATATTACAAAAATCACATTTTCATACTAGACATGTATTCTCCTAATCTCTAATTTTACTTGTAATTGCACGTGACTTTTATGTGACAAACGGTTGATGTAGTAAATCTTATACAATTGCATAGTCTCATAATCTCAAATTTTATTCTAAAATTGCACGTCTTGCATGTCACAAACTGCTAATATAGTGAATTTTATAGAAATATCATATGTTTAGTTAATGGTGTATTGATTCTTTTTTTTGTTTTTTTTTTTGTTTTTGGGCTTTTCAACACACACACACGAACAAAGGAATATTGATGTCCCAAAATTCTCAAAAAAGGATATGGAGAAAAATGCAAATTTTCTCACTGATAAATCAAAATTAATGGCAATGTTCAATCAGTGTAAGACGCCAGAGGAATTAGTCAAGAATGTTTGATTTTCCTTGTATATATAGAATTTCAAAATCAGTATATATATATATCAAACCTGCTGTGTGTACAGCAGGCTTCATATAGAAGCCTGCCAGAACACACACATAGGGGCGTGGGTGGAGATATTTTTTGACAATTTTTTATTTACGGTGGGTCCCACACATGAGAGTAATATGTAGGGTTGGGCAAATTTTTCGAACCGAATCCGACGATTCTTGTCAAATTAAATACCCGAACGGGTATCTATATTGAGAACCGACGGGTACGGTTTGGTTCTCGGTTCTAGACCAAAAATCGAAGAACCGAATAAGAATCCAATCTTTCTAATTTTTTTTTAATATTGAATAAATCAAATTATTTTAATTTTAATTTTTTCTAAACAAATTAACAAATTAAAAATTTCTAAATCCAAATTTTTGGCCCAATAATTTGTTTTACTTCTAATTTTTTAATTTTTGGCCCAATTATCCCTTTTATTGTCTCATTTCTTAGTCTAACAAGATCCAACCCACTAAATAATCCTAAACACATACACTAAAGTGTATAACGCGGTCTCGACTCTCGCAGCCTCGCTGAAATTCCAAAACCTATACAATCGTCGACCGACGCTGTGACCTCCGATCGAAGCTGTGACCTCTTCGAACTGAGATTTTGACCGTAGCGATCATTTGAATAAGGTAGTATACGAGTCTCTGACATTTCAAAATCATTGAATGTGTCATTAGTTGTATTTATATAATGTTGTTATAAATGTTAAAAAATCTAATTATAATACAAAACTGAACGGAACCGAACTAAACCGAACCCGAACGGTTCCATAATTATATTTGAACCTGACGGTTTCATTTACTAAATACCTGAAAATTTTGGTTCGATTCGATTCTCTTTAGACCCGAACCGAATCGACCTGCGCCCACCCTTAGTAATATGGCCAAATTCTATGGAAAATTTTCTATACAACGGCTTAATACTCTATATATATATATATATATATATATATATATATGCACGCTGTCTTGCTTATTTTCTCTTACCAATATATATATATATATATATATATGCACGCTGTCTTGCTTATTTTCACTTACCATATTTGACTACATATAACAAATGCACTTTATATTTTCCAATGTTTCTAATATTACAAAAACCATATTTTGATACTAGCAAGAATGGAATGGTTCTGGTGCGGTTTTCTGTTCCCGAGCACTCGCGCATATTTTAACTTACCATATTGAACATATTAACTAAGTAATTGGATTTTGTAACTGTAATACATCATCTTTTTAGTCTTTATCTATCTTCATTAATTAAAAATTTACAAACTATTATTTAAAGTGAATATTAATGTCAAAATTGGGTTAATTACACAAAAGGTCATTGAAGTTTTGAGTATTTAAGCCAATAATCACTGAAGTTATTTTTTTATGGTACAATGACTCAACTTTCTAATAATTACATTACTCGATAATAGACCTTAACTTTAAATCCTACATGACATCAATATAATTAACGTATCACCAAACAACATTATTAATTACATCAAGTCAGTGAAAATCATTGTTAAAAAAATTGGCTTCCGATATGTTTTAATTCCAAAAATATGATCAAATCTAAAGTTGCATCACATTTTCTCAACATGTTTCATTGCCTATTCCTAACTCTCAATTTTGATTTGATGACTTGACGTCATAAAAATTAATGTTTGGTAACACTTTGATACTTAACGACACCATGTTTAATGTTAATATTTTAAAAAATATAATTATTAACGTAATAATTAAAAAGTTGATTAATAATACCATAATAAAATAACTTTAGCGACATTGACATAATTAGTCTAAACCCTGTAACCATTGACATAGTCGAAATTTAAGGTAGACAGAACAAGTCATTAAGGTTTGTTAATCTTCTCTCTTATTAGTTACACTAAATAGTATATAATATACACACATAATTATATTAAAGTATGCTTTCTTTTCTTAATTGTGCTCACAGGTACAGAATAATGACATAACAAGCTACAGATAAGCGACATTCGTCTATGCACATCTATGCCCCACCTCGTACACACGAATACATAGCATAAGCTAATGTCGTAGAATAATGCAATCTAATTTCAGTAATGTTGAATATCAATTTAGGTATCAGTATATTATAGGTCCTATTAAATGGATCATAATTTCTTGTATTTAATTGAACATATAATTTAATGACATTAATACTGTCCCCTACACTGATGTTAAAAACCTGTGGTACCTAATAATATTACTCAATGCCGAAAGGATCCTAGCATACGTCTAAGCACGTCTAGGCTTTACCCCGTACACGCAATACAAAGCATTAGATAATGCCAAACAGTCCGTCACTAAACCCAGGGTTTACTATCCCAAGCCTCTTTGCTTCTAGTAGATGTTGGCAAAAACGCAAAGCCAATACTTCGACTTATTCAGAAAACGACTTGGTCCCTTGTTTACACATGTGAAGTTGATTCCTACGCTTTCGATGCACATCTCCAAATCTGTCATTGAGCAGATTGTCCCAGTGGACATCTTCTTTGCAAGATGAATCCAAGTCATAAAGTATGTCAAGGTTATGATTTAAACGAGTATAATAATATGACAATATGAAAAATAGATCAAACAAGAATACAAAATTTACATGGTAAAAATATACAAATTTATGTTAATATCAATAGAGGAGGATTACAAATTATTGTGTAGAATGTAAATATGGATTTAATATGTGTTGTATACCACACATATATAATACTAAGATCTCTAACATATTAGGAATATAATACAATAAAAAGTTTAATATGAGATGCAGTCCCAATATAATGAGTAAAACTAATAATAGAATATTTGGAATGAAATATGAGTAAAAAATTGACAAAATATGAATTTTGTCAACTAGACTTCAACTAAAATTTTCAACTAGACTTCGAATAGAATTCTCAAATAGTTTTTCAAATGGAATTCGAGTCAAATCCTAATTCTAATAAATTTCACATTGACATGTATCCCACAACAAAGAACAAAAATTCGAAAAATTCTCCATCTGAAGACAAATTCCAGTGCAAGAAATAAAACTTAACTATTTAACCAAAAATTCTCCACCTTTTCATCAAAATCCAACTAAGGTAAACTCAATAACTGAATCAAAACACTGCTTAGCAGAATTACTTTGGGTACCAAAATTGCTCGAATTACTCCCAAGAGCAATAAAATCAAGAATAATTTAAATTTACCAAAGGGGTAGAAACATACCTTGTAACAGAATCAACACAAAATGTTTCTAGAGAAGGTTCATTGCTAGACTTAATATCTTCTACTACACTTCACGCATAAACAACAAAATCAGCTTCAACGTACCTTCGTGGAGGCTTAATATTTCTTTTGGATCTGTTTCTAGTAATTGAATACAATGAAATCGATGGTGATGGTGGTAAAACAATGTTACCCATAACTTATGAAACTCGATTGAGATGTACTCTTTAATATGGACACTAAACCAAACTCCAAAGGTATTGAACCAAACTTAAAATCTATCCGAGTCCTTAACTTCTAGTAATTAATATTTAAAAATTCCATGAAATCGAGCAAGACGTATAACTGCAACCTTTTCTATCCCTTAACACAACGCGGGCACTATTACTAACCTTTACGACTCCACAAGCACAAGTGTAATTGTACCTTTTTGAATTAAAATTACTTAAGGAGTCAAGTGTTCCCCCCCCCCTAAATCGAGAACATGTCTAACAGTATCAAATGTTCTGACAATCCCATCAAACATCTAAAGTTTGATCCTTCCAAAACCAATTATCCTACAAGGTGAATTATTTTCATTACTAAAACATCTTTGAAAATTGTTTCATATGTTGAGAACAAATTCCGATTATAACACATATGAAACGTGTAAGCTGTATCAAGAATTCAATCTTTGTCAGATTTGGAGTAACTGTAAAAAATAACCAAAAGTTCTCCATATTTGTACCTATCTTCTGCAATACAGACTTCACCTAAAGTTTTAGATTGTTTTCCATCTGATTTGCAACAGTTAAATTTTCCTTCTTCTACAACTTATAAGAATCCTTTTTGATGTGCCTCGTCTCCTGCACTAATTACAGACTTTATTATTGTAGTCAGGGACATAGCCCATTAAGAACTAGTGCTGGCTAGGCATAGGCCTGCACTGAACTTTTGGACCCAACCCAATAAGTTTTTTTCCTTAGCCGACCACTATCGTCTACCAGAGGCCTAACCCAAGAGTAAACTAAATCGAATCCAACATATTTCAATGGGAAAATTACATAATTCCAGGTGTCTAGAGATCACAATTCAAAAATTAGGGTTAAAGTTTCACTATTCATATATCAGGTATCAATATAATAATTAAATATTAAATATTCCCCCAAATTATTCCAAACCCTCATCAATTTTTTTCTTACCATTTCTCTCTCTACCCTTTTTTCTCTCTCAGTCTTTCCCGTATCTCCATCACAATCGCCGTCGAAATTCCTTGCTGGTAGGGTTCATGACATCACAGTGTAGTGGCGATGCTCTGAAGACCGGCGCCGGTTCAGATGCGATACCTGCTCCGCTGAAAGAAGATCGGCATCACTGCAAGAGCACGATGGAGATGTTATTTTTTGCCCAGGAATGCTGCTACTATGTGACTTCTACCCAGGAACATTGTCTACAAGTGGCGCTGCTGCACTTCTGAACGTTACCAAAACCACACAATCGCCTATTGGGAATTATCCCACACACTTCTACTGCGCAACTTCTAACAGGAACACCTTGCTCAGGATCGCAGACAATATTATCACCTTTGTATGGTTTTGGTGATGTTGTGGGGTGATGATGTGGTGATGGTGGTATGGTAGATCTAGGTAAAACGACGATAGTGGTGATGGTACCGACGATGCTTGCGTTGGTAGTGGTGATTGTGGTTGTGGTGTAAAGAAGATGAAGGGCTGGTGGTAGTGGCAGTGGCATGGTTGAATTGTTGGTGGTGCAGGTACTAGCGGCAATGTTGCTACTGTGATGGTAAGTTGGTGCTTGGTTTCAACGGTGCTGGTAGTGTTTGTGACCAATTATATACATTGTTTGGTTGGTGCCGTCGTGGTGACGATTTTGGTGGTGTGTGTTGGTTTGTTTTTGCAGGTGGTGGTGGTGGTGGTGGTGGTTGTGATGATATTGTGGTCCGGGTAGCGTTTGTGACCAAGTATTATGGTAGATTGAGGTCCAGAGTTTGGTGTTTGTGACCAACTATTTGGTCTCTTGTGACTGTATTAATCCGTGACTTTAAGTTTCGATCATTTTGTGACTAAAAAAAGTAATCTGTGACCATTAAATTTAAAAATATGTGACCTATAATTTTTTGAATTTGTAGCCTATAATTTTTTGATCTGTGACGTATCAAAATTTTGATTTGTGACCTCGAAAAAAATCTGTAACCCATTAATTTGATTATATGTAACTAATAAATAAATCTGTGACTTATAATTGTGAATCTGTGATCATTAATTATATAACTGTGACTTTATTATCATTATTTAATAAATATTTTTAATTAATTAGTTAAAACCTAATTTTTGTGAAACTTGTATCTGAATTTTGAATTATGCATAATTAAACCTGATTTGTGAACTCTTCCCTTTTTCAATCTCTCACCACCAGTAGCCATTATCCATTCTACCACAATTCATCTGATGATTTGTGAGACCGTAAGTACGAATGCATGAAGGCAGTGCATGACCACACATCGGCCTCTCACTCTCGCCTCTTTGAGCCCTTAACGCGGCGACGCCTTCCTTCCATCAACACCATTAGCGGGCAACCAAAGCGACAACACAACAGGTAGCAGCAATTGCTCTTTTGAAGAAGAAGGCATGAAACATTTACCACTTAACAATGAACTCGCTGAACTGGTGAAGAAGAAGTCGATTCGACAGTCGACAGAAGAAGGTGAAGCTCGAAAGCCCTCTCATTTCTCTTTTCATTTTTTTATTTTTATTTGAGTCTTGTGTTCAATTAATCTTTTATAGGGTCTTGTTTTGATTTAAAATCATGTATTAATTTTGTGATTCTTATGAATTCATTTGCAGGCGAACTCAGAAGCTAGTGGAGCTTGGAGTTAATTGGAAGCCCCTGCCTGAGGCTGAGGAGAGGTCAAATGTAACTTAATTTCGTAATTGGATATTGTTTTAAGGTTAGACACAAGATGCAGATTTAAAGTGAATTGGATGTTATGCACTTAATTAAACAAGTGAACTTAATTGGATGTTTATGTATTGCCTTATTGCCTGGAGTTTTGTGAATTGCAGTCTGCAGACTTAGTTCCAAGGTTAGATAAGATAGAATTGAGAGTATTTTGCTTGATTTTACTTAATTCTGAGGGTAGATAAGATAGAATTAACAAGAAGTTTGCTGGTACAGCGACTGTTTCTGCAACAATGCTTTTCGCTTCCATGGAGAATGTTGCAATCTTATAAGTTTCGTTGTTTTTTCATTTCTTTTTCTTTTTCTTTTTCTACCAGGTGCGCCTATAAAGGGAAATGTAAATGTTATTTTTCCACATATTTGCAGGTTGGGATTCCAATATTTGTTACAGGAGGTATTCGTGGAGTGCGTAGATATGGAGAGAGTAGTAAGTTAAAGACCAAGATTTCATTTGTAATGTTGACCGCAACCATTGAGTGCACTCTTGAATCATAAATTTTTGTGGCTAGTGAAGTGATTATTGGTATAAAAACAAAGTAATTGGCAGATTAACTTGTTTTTTATTATTATCAATCATTCCGCTTGCAGCAAATGGATATATCTTCCGGTCTTACAGAGCTGGGAAGGACTATAATTGCTGTAATTTCTGCAGGTGTAAATTCAATATTAGATATCCCGAAAACCCACGAATTTTTGGTAATTCCTTATTACTCCAAATATATGCATAATAAATGAAAAAATTATTGTTTGCTGAACTACAGGAAATGCAAGGCTAGAAGGGGTTTGCATTGCAACATACAAGACAGATGAGTTCCTCGCATTTTTCACAGAAACAAGTGAAGGTCATTAAACTACCCCTTACATAATCACCACCAATAATAAGGCCATCTCCATGAACATTAGATCCAACAAGATGTTCCATCATTTCCTTATGTCTCTAAATGACATATATAAAGCGGACAATGAACACAATAATGTTAATCCTAAATCTTTTTTATCATATTTGACCTTCAAAGTCTTCAAATCAACGATATTTTTCTTAGAAAAAGCTAGGCAATCTTTCAGTGAAGTACCTTCTGTTATACAATGAGAATAAAGACAAAAAAATTATTTCAAATCATTCCAAATTTAAGAAAAATTCTCTTTTTAGAAACTTTAATTTAGAGAGAAAAATCATATTTTAGGATATTTTCTTAAATAAAGTATTTTCATAAATATTAGGGATCTATGGGCAATGCAAAATTTTTAAAGTCTTAAACAAATAATGATATGAGAACCATTGGCTCACGACTCTCACTATTTGACCACTCCCCAATTGATCAAAGGTATGAAATGAAATGTTTTTATTTTAGCATGATTATGGGTCGTCTTGTTTCATAACTATTATAAGTATATAAATGTCAAGTATTCAGAACTTTTTAACTAACTGAGGTATTCTTTTAAGGAGGGGGAAATTGTAACGTTCTGAAAATTTTATAGAATAAAATTTGTTTATTCTATATGGTATATTTTTATATTTTGAAAGTTGAGGGGTTAAAGTTAACTAGTATTAATTTTAATTTTATTTGGGCCAAGTAATTAGATTTTGATAGAGCGAGATTTAGTATATCAATATTGGACTCGTTTTATAATTTGTATTAAATAATGCATTATGAACTCGAGAAAAATTTAATTCGGATAAGTTAGGTCTAAGATATGGAAGTTTAAAGAAGTTATCTTTAATTGGTAATTAATTAAACTTGGTTTATGAGTTTAATTTTATGGTAGCCTCCTATGAGATGATACATGTTGATTTTGATAATGATAATTTTTTGTGATTTGGATAAAGTTGAATTGTAATCTTAAATTGGTGTTGATGAAGTTAAATAATAATCATAATTCTATTATTTGAAATCAATTCTTATTCAAATTCCTTGTATTACACAATTGTTCAGTTCTAGTTGCATACAAATTCAATTGAGTATTTCAACTATAAATATTGCAAGAATATCCATTATTTACCATAGAAAATAAAAAAAAAATAAAAAAGCCATGGTAGAGAGAGAAGGTGATGAAAAAGTACAGAAAAATAATGGGAGAATTTTCATGTGCAAGATGTTATCTTTGAAGAAAAATATGAGAGAAAATTCTTCTTATTTTCTATTATTGAATAGGCATAGATTACAAGAATAAATAGGAGAGGAAACCATCAATTAGGTTCATCAAACTCCTTAAATCAAGGAAGACTAAACATAGAAAACTAACCAATTAGGAAAACAGAAAAAATCTTGGAGATTGAAATGCTAATTATCCTAATCTCATTATTTGGAAACTAGTCCACTCCAAAATATTCCACACTCCCCCTCAAGCCGCGCAATATATGTTTATTATTCCCAGCTTGGAAAGAAGAATTTCAAATTGGTCTCGATTGAGAGCTTTGGTGAGTATATCTGCAATTTGAAGATTCGACAGAGTGTAATCTAGTTTGACGATTTCCTTATTAATCTTCTCTTTTATGAAGTGCCAGTTAATTTCGACATGCTTAGTCCTATCATGGTGAACTGGATTCTTTGCAATGTGGATTGCAGCTTGATTATCACACTTTATTTTTATTGGATCATTAGATAGGATCTTCAATTCTTCCAAAAGTCCTTTTAGCCACATTGCTTCACAAATTCCATGTGCCATTGATCTAAATTCTACTTTAGCACTACTTCTAGCAACAACTGACTGCTTCTTGCTTCTCCAGGTGACCAGATTTTCCCATACATAGGAACAATAGCCAGATGTAGACCTTCGATCAGTCAAGGATCCTGCCCAATCAGCGTCTGAAAAGATTTCTATGCCTCTATTTGTCCCTTTCTTGAAAAACAGCCATTTTCCTGGTGTTTTCTTAAGATATCTAAGAATCCTATATACTGCCTCGAGGTGCTCATTAGTTGGATTGTTCATGAATTGGCTAACCACATTAATAGGGAAACTAATGTCTGGTCTTGTTTGAGACAAGTAAATGAGTTTCCTTTACATCTAGTTTATTGAAGGAGTCCATAGGAGTATCTGAAGGCTTACAGCCGAGCATGCCGGTCTCCTTAAGTAAATCTAGTGTATACTTCCGTTGAGAAGCCGTAATACCCATGCTTGATCGTGCTATTTCCATCCCAAGAAAGTATTTCATTGCACCAAGATCCTTGGTCTCAAACTCTTTAGCAAGAGTATTCTTTAACTGACTTATTTCTTCTACATGATTCCCTGTCAATATGATATCATCCACATAAACGATAAGAATCGTAATTTTCCTTCGAATGACTTCTTTATGAATAAGGTGTGATCTGATTGGCCTTGAGTGTACCCATCCTTCTTGATTGCTGTAGTGAATCTTTCAAACCATGCCCTTGGAGATTGCTTGAGGCCATAAAGAGATTTTACTAGTTTGCATACACTGTTGGCATTTTTTGGGTTTTTGAGACCTGGAGGAATTTCCATGTAGACCTCATCTTCTAAATCTCCATTAAGGAATGCATTATTTATATCGAGTTGGTGGAGAGGCCAATCTGAGTTTGCTGCCAAGGATAATAGGACATGTATAGTATTTAACTTGGCAACCGGGGCAAATGTTTCTTGATAGTCAATTCTGTAGGTTTGGGTGAAACCTTTCGCCACAAGTCTTGCCTTGTACCTATCAATGCTTCTGTCTACCTTGTACTTGACATTGAATATCCATTTACATCCCACGGGTTGTTTTCCTTTGGGAAGTTCTATGAGTTCCCAAGTTCCATTACTCTCAAGGGCCTGAATTTCTTCATCAACCACTTTCTTCCATTCGGGATGCTTTAGAGCTTCTTGTATGCAATGTGGAATTTCTATGCTTGTTAAGTTTGAAGTGAACGCACGATAGTAAGGGGATAATCTTTCATCTGTCACAAAGTTTGCAATTGGATATCGAGTACATGACCTAACACCTTTCCTTTGAGCAATGGGAATATCAAGATCATTACCAGGATAAGAATTAGTGTTACCTTGAATTACAGTATCTGAATTCGAAGTGGACTCTTAGTTTTGCTCAGGAAAAGTAAAGTGATCTACCTCCATCAGAGTTGTTGGTTTCCTTGAGTATACAAACCCTTTAAATCTCTCCAATTTTTCTTGTTGACTCACCATTTTAGAATTGTTTAGAATGGGTTCAGGAAGAACAGAATTTTGAGTAAACTCAGGTAGAATGGGTACAATTGGAAGTGTAATGTTGTTACTAGAATTAGAAGAACTAGGGATTGTGGAAGGCTGCTCAGAGGAAGAATTATTCTCATCTTGCCAAAACTGATATTCATTTATGATGGATTCATTCTCCCTCTGAATATGAGTTTTGGAATAAAAAGGTTGATTTTTAAAGAAGGTTACATCCATGGTATTATAAAACTTTCGAGTGGTTGGGGAGTAGCATTTGTAACCTTTTTGGTGAGAGGAGTATCCAATAGATATGCATTTTATGGCCTTGGGATCGAGTTTGCTCCTTTGATGAGGCGGTATGTGGACAAATGTTGTACACCCAAAGACATTAGTGGTAAGGACGAGATGAGTCTGGATTGTGGATAGATTTGTGTGAGTACGTGGCATGGAGTTTGGAATTTTAGGACTCTTGAAGGCATTCTATTGATGAGATAGGTGGCAGTAAGAATGGCTTCCCCCCAGAAGTGTTTTGGAACATGAGTAGTAAACATAATAAAATGAACCACTTCTAAAATGTGTCGATTTTTTCTCTCAGCTATCCCATTTTGTTGTGGCGTGTCTATGCAAGAACTCTGATGAACTATCCCATGTTCAAGAAGATAATTTCCAAGGATAGAATGAAAATATTCTTTGGCATTTTTGGTTCTCAAAAATTGAATTTTTGTTTGGAATTGGGTTTGTACCATTGAGTGAAAATTTCTAAAGATTGGACATGCTTCTGACTTTTCTTTCAGAAGGAATATCTAGGTGATTCTAGAATGATCATCAACGAAGGAGATAAGCCATCGGGTTCTTGAAATATTATTAACTCGTGCAGGACCCCAAATATCATTATGTATCATAGAAAAATGATGTGATGCCTTG